CCTCATTTCGAATTTTTGGATCCACCACTGCAAGGACCACCTATTTATGCGAAAGCCAGGGAAAATCCTGGATCCGCACTTGTAAACAGCTAGTGAACCAAAGAACAGTGCCTATAAATATAAATATAAATTTCGAGTGTCCTGTAAATAATTAAAGTCATAAAGCCAAGATACCACGCTATATGCCGCCAAGTTCTCTTTCTTTGTTTTGTTCTGATCTTTGTGATCTCTGATCAATGTAGTGCTGTAATAACAATTTGAATAAAACTTCAGGAATACTTTATTGTCATCGATTAAAAAAGTGAACAATAAAATTTGTTTTGCCAGTTGCTAAAAATACACTTAGAACCATTATTAAAATATGGTTTCAAAAACAAAAAGTCATGACATATATATATATTACATTGCATGAATTGAGTAATTGAATTTAGAAGGTATTTGCATTCAGTTGGAATTAAATAACAAGATTCAAGGTATATGACAAAAACAACTATACAGAAGAAGATAAAACATTTATTATAAATGATGCTAAATTAAGATGAATAAGAGTTAATATCTGTTACTGTGGTATTCACAATATTGTGTTAGACCTGTTCTTATCTTAATAAATTAACATAAAATAATAACTTACAGTATATTAGAAAGGGAACAGCAGCGTTTACGATATTGATTAAAATATTTACACATCTGGTATTAATGATCTTTCGTCAATGATTCACAAAAACAAAATGGCATGACAGATAAATATATTACATTGCATGAGTTGAGTAATTGCATTTAGAAGGTATTTGCATTGAGTTGGAATTAAGTTACAAGATTCAAGGATATGACAAAAACATTTATTATAAATGATGTTAAATTATGATGAATAAGAGTTAAATTCTCTTACTGTGATATTCACAATATTTTGAATTAGACCTGTTCTTATCTTACATTAACATAAAATAATAACTTACAGTCTATTAGAAAGGGAACTACCACGATGTTGATTAAGTCATTTACACATCTGTTATTAATGTTACTTACGTCAATGATTCACTACAAAATATTTAACACAATGAACATTGTATTAAATCACAAAACTAACAAGATTTTGATAATATAAGGAACCTTTGGGACATAATCAACAAAACCTTAAAACAAAAAATGTACAAATATTTTCAGAAATGTTGGATTTAAAATTACGATTTTAGGTAAAATGGCACTCTTAAAACATTTTATTTAAGATTAATCCAGCCATTGCCTGATTATCATGACAGTATGAGGAAATGTATCAGGAGAACAAACATTATTATTTAAACAGGAGAGCGGCGTACATTGTTTCTAGTATGTTTGATTAAAGTGGCAATCAGAATGTTAAATAGGATGATATAATTCATTACTTGAGACTAAAATGATATTTTGATGCAGGAAGTTTGTGAAAGGGCACTAGAAAACTCCAGTAGCTTTGAAGAGTATTTCTGTCTGAAAGGTTTAAGAAATCCACATTTTCTACCATAAGTAGAATGTTGAATGATAAATAAAAAAAATAATTTAAATAGCAAGCATTTTGAAATCAGTGGTGACTTAAGACCAGGAGATGTTTCCATATAATTTTTTTGTATAAATTAATTTTAAAATTTTCATCATGATTGTATCTTTATGATAAAACAATATTACTATATAAATATATGTATAAATAAATTTAATAATTGATACTGGTAATTACGAAGCTGTTTATGGGACATGGCGAAATTTTTTTTTTTTTTTTTTTGCCTTATTAAGGATCAGGAAAATTTACGGGTTAGGAAAAAAAATGCACCATGCCCCTTAAACAGCTTTGTAGGTAATACTGTTAAGACTGACACTAACTTCCAAATCTTACTGTGCTTGGATTCACACAATTTGTTTTTAGTCTTATAATAAAATGTTAATAATCGATATTAGGCCTATTTGTAATGGTAGATCTAATTTTCATATGTTATTGTTTAATTTTTCTTACATGTATTCATTATTGATTGATATAAGAACATTATAAAAATTTAAATGCTTTAGAAAATGTACTTAAGGATAAATAAATAACGTTTTTATCTTCAACATGTTTAAACTTGAATCTTGTTTTAAATAGGATAAACGTTATTGGGTATTAAATACTGTAAAATGTATTGGTTTTTCTTTCGATGTAAAATGACTAAGGCTAACATCATTTCTAAACTTTTTTTGTGTAATTTTTAAAGGTGGACTTTTCTTTGCGAAGAAAATGAGAGAGCAAGGCCACGTGACACTGTTGGACCCTTTTCAAATTAAATTCGGTAACAGAATGGGTGGACTCCTGTTCCTGCCAGCTCTATCGGGAGAGATCTTCTGGTCTGGCGCCGTTCTTGCAGCTCTGGGTATTCAATCAATTACATAAATTAATCAATTAATCATTCAAAGACCCAACTAATCTATTAGGCAATTAACTAAACACGAAACCAATCAACCAATCAATATGAAATAACCAGCCTTTATCAACTAAAAACACCCAACTAACTAAACTACACAGCCAATTACTAAGCAAACTAAATTACAGATGAATCGATGATTTTGTAATAAGTTAATATATTTTATTTATGTATAATTATGCTTAAAGCGGCATATTTTTTTTTCTTTTTCTAAATAATAAAACTTCACTGAATTCTCCAATTCGAGAGCCTCTAATTCGAAACCCTTTTCAAAGAAACAACTATCAAACTTTAGACTACCCTAAATTTCTGGTTCCAAAGTTGTCTCAAATTGCAGGGCGAACTGTACTCACCAAAAACCTCTCTCCAAAACAACAATCAACTAAAACCGTGTTACACAAAAAGTCACCAGTAAGAATTATTTAACAAACGACCATTTAACAATAGTATCGCCAACCTTTCAACCATAACCACTCGTTCACACACTACAAAAATCAAATCAAAATACAAACCCCAACATCTAATCTAACTACCAAATACAATTACAATTATTGTGAATGATTATTTTTGTTTCGTCGTAGGGTCAACGTTCAGTGTAATTTTGGATATAGACACAAAAATAGCCGTCATCGTCTCTGCCTGTATAGCTATGTCCTATACATTGTTTGGAGGTCTCTATTCAGTGGCCTACACTGACGTTGTTCAGTTGATATGCATATTTTTTGGTTTGGTGAGTGTTTATGCTTCATATTGTATTGTCACCTCCGCCAAGGAGGTTATGCTTTTCCCCTTTTTATTTGTTTGTTTCTGTCCGTGTGTGTTTGCATGTTTGTGTTTTTTTTTCTGCGAACAACCTACAGGCCACGGTTTTAATCAGAAACTCGTCAAACTTGATCACAATTATCCATATTACCAAAGGCCTGGAGGTGATTACATTTTTAAGGGTTAGGGTAAAAGGTCAAGATGACACTCGACAAAAAAAAAAACTTTATATAACAGCGTACCACAATGCACATTTTTCATTAGAAACTTGTTCAACTCAGCCACAAATAACTGTTATTTGTAGACAGGGTCAAAGATCAAGGACACAATGAACTAAAAACTACTTTTTTAACTGTCTGCAGTAGCTGTGTGCTTATGGGGCTTTCCGAAGAATAGTATAAAAAAAAACAGATTGGTGCAGTGGTTAAAAGAGTGTTTTGCACACTTCTGGTCGCGGGGTCGGATGGATCCCATGATGTCTATTTGTATATTTTATTCATTATCTTTTATTTCATTTTCCGTACTAACGATGAACGTCCCAGACCTAAATATCTCAAAAATGTGCTTTTTTTCCATTTTTCCCCCCCTTTTTTTTCTATTTTTATTTGACAATATGCGTAGGAAATTTATACAGAGCAGAATATTATGATGTGGGCGGAGGTATACACTCTCGGAGTGTGCTGTAAGTTAGATAATGTTAAAGGGCTTTGAGCTTTTTTTTATTATGATTATTAACAGTGGTTGGCTATTCCGTTCGCTTTGACAAACGAACACGTCACAAGTATCAGCGAGACGAGTTCAACCTGGCTAGGTACCTGGGAGAATCGATACGCTGGTGTGTGGTGCGATCTCGGGTTACAGTTGGTATGATCATTGTGTTAATTACGGCTTAGCTGTGGTTTAATATAAGATTTTGTATCATTGTTTTAATTTCTCGATTTACTGATTTATTGATTTTATTTGCTTACCGATTGATGACATTATAAAAGTATGTAATACAATATACCTATGAATAACTCAATACTATAATTATAATAATATTGTATATTATATTGCAATATAATAGTTACATATGCAGTAGGCCTATCACTTTTGGGGTTTTTCTAACTTGGTACAAGAGTCATCGTATTTTATTTCTTGATCTGTCAGTTTCTTGGTTTTCTTATTATCTACCTATCGATATATTCTAAAATAATGTAATAAAATATAGGCCTACTGTACTTATAATAATAATATTAAAATAATAAAATAATACAATATATGATGTAAAATAATGCTTACATAATGCAGTAGGCTTATTACCTTTGCTTTTTTCTTTACTTTATGTGTAGTTAATTTTAAATGTTGTATTAAAGATTCTTAACAATAGCTTCTGTATTTATTAGGTTTGTTGGTGACATTGATTTTTCTATTTTTTAATTCAGGTGCCTATGATCTTCTTTCTCTAGACATTAATTACTGGCTCTCACAATGAGGAGCCTGTTGGAAAAGGTTCTTTAACTAAAGAAATAAAAAAATGACATAATGTTTTAATCAATAAATTGATTCCCAGGTTTTTGGAGGCTTGCCATGGCAGGTGTACTTCCAGCGCGTGCTGTCTGCAAAAACTGCGCGGTATTCACAGGTTTTGTCATACGCTGCAGCACTTGGCTGTATGATCATGACAATTCCTTCAGTATTAATCGGAGCCATAGCTACAAGTACAAGTGAGTGTATTTAAAAATATTATGTTTTTTACAAAGATTGTTTTCGTTATATTTTGAAAAATTCACGTCCTATTTAAGCGTTGGGGAATGTATTATAAGTATTAAATATAAGTATTATCTATGACATTGATAAAATTGATGTAGTATTGATATATATATATATATATATATATATAATTATATATATGTATGTATATAATGATATCAGAGAGGTAGTAAGGTTAATATAACTGATTTATCAATGTAGCAAACACTTATAATTATTATCGTTTACAGCAATTTAACAAGATAAATTTTACACTTCGACTTTACATTTCAGATTGGAATGAAACAGACTATAAACAAGGCATTACAGACAGCAATATTGTTCTACCACTAGTCTTACAATACCTAACACCTCAGGTTGTCTCGATCATCGGCCTGGGTGCCGTCTGTGCAGCTGTAATGTCTTCGGCCGATTCTTCCCTGCTCTCGGCTAGTTCCATGTTTGCTCGTAATATATACAAACTTCTGATACGACAAAAAGTAAATATATTGTAAAGGTGCTACTCCAAAAATGATATAAAACAGACTTTTATATTGGGTGTAGATTTAATTAAGGTTGTTGAGCACTTCACCAATAAGATTGGTATTAATACAATCCGTAGCTTCAATACCAGTACGCGCCTAATGGTCGCTGTCTAGATCGTGCAAAATGCGTGGTATTTAGGTTCAAATTTATTGTGGGGGGAGGGGGTGTTG